TTGTGACTATCCGGCAAGAAGGAGAAATGTTAGTAAAAATTCAATGATATCAATCATTACCATACATTTGGAAAATAAACCATGATTCAGATTTCTTACAGCGCCATCTAGAATTGAAGTTTAAAACAAAATGTATTAAAACAGTACAGGTTGTCGTGGTACTAGAAATCTGAATGATGGTTTATTTTTACAAAAGTATGGTTATGATTGATTTCAGAGAATTTTTATTAACATTGGTCCTTCGAGCCGGATAGTCATTGTTCGTTTTACATGACTAATTGGCTGATTACAGTTGTCATAAGTGTACGTACCATATATCGATCGACTGGATAAACCGTTGGGCCGGATCTCATCTGTTCGTGAGACACAGCGGCTCCGGCATCCGCTCGCCGCTCGCGCACCCGCTGCGCTCTGCGGACAAATATAAACACAATGTTACATGAGGCTAGTAAATAATGCTCTCCATGTATTAAAGCAATTTATTACACTTGCTTTTGGGACAAAATGTATCATGGAATTAGTAAAGGGAAAGAGGTTAGCTCCTGAAACACAAAACTTAGTTCAAGCGAAGGTATCAACCAAATTGGGTATGTATGAGTTTGAGGGTAAATGGTTGTGACTTTCGTACTTTTCGACTGTAAAATAAATGTTATTTAAAAAAAAAGAAAGTCGAAAAGCACTTATATTTATAAACCTTATAATGAATTTCTACAATGTATTTCATGAGTTATAATGTAATTTAAAAGATGTAATCATTGTCGTGTAAGACAAAATGATCTATTTGAAAATTACCTTTTAGACTACCACACGGATTTCTTTGGACACATTATTGACTTTGTGTAATAGATATCTATAAGAATATTTCATAAGGCAAACTAAAATTAATTTAAAATACAAAAAATATTTTTGTCAGTGACAGTGCAAAGGAAAGTAGCAATCTGTAAAAATGGAAAAGTATCTGTTTGAAAACTGTGAAAATTGTCAGTTAATTAAATCTTCTATTATTAATAACAATTACCATTAGCGCCTTCAACCGCACCAAGAGCGTCAAGATGGCAAAAATGAAATAGGCGACAGTAGTAACATTTCTAGAGGTCAGTGGAAAATCGGGCATAGGAGGTAGAAATAAAAATTCCCAGATACAAAATCACATCAATTGTATTTCACCAACATTTACATGAACGTCTTAATCGAAGCATTTCACTTGCTGCTTACAATAAGAAAGATACAAGTCTCAAAATTATTTCCATTGTCGACATCCGACAAACAAGCCTGAATCGCAGGCGGAACAAAAACTTCCCAGGTGACAAATATACAGGGAAACCTTCGAAAACCTATTTACAATACATTTGCTACATTACATACATTCAAACTGAAATGTACGAGATTCAATGGATTTCATCCCCGGCATATAACCTCTAAATACAATCATGAAATAACTACATTATTAATAAATTGTATATTCACTCTGCTACAAGTTTACTTTGAGATTTATATTTGTTATGTTTCATGCAAATAAAATTGATTTCCAGTATACATATATGGATTAAAAGCACTATTTTATAATAATCTATATCCTACTTCATAATCTACTTGACAATAACAAACCGACACGAGTGTATAGAAAAATATATTTACAATCACTCTGATGACCCATTCTACGTACCGTTGCATCTCTTAAGATCTCATCCAATGTACTCTCAGAGGTTGCGCACACCTTTGATTAAACTATCGCAAAACTGGTGTGCGATTGTTGATTGTTTCTCAGGCAATCCAACTGTTTAGTTGCACAACTAAATATCGAGTATGCACCTCCATAGTAGCTCATAGGAATCAAAGCCAGACTAAACAGTTGTGCTACAATTTAGTCAACGGTGTGCGCACCCAAATTGTTGCATCTATTATAACATTTAATCTGTCTGTAGAGATTACATCTGAGAGTTGCATCCCTTGAGATCTATAGAGATGTAACTATTCTCATGAGTCGGAGTACATTTCACAACATGCATATTTGTCACCTTAGAAGGAGATGCACTTTGTGTGCTCACAGAATGCCACTCTTGGCTTAAAATGAATCATAGAGGCCATTGCGGCCGGGCTACGGATAACACTAAACATCAATTTCGAATCTATCAGAATTACGAAGTCTATATTAACTCAATTCATTGGTGCTTATTAAAAAAAAAATGCAAATTATGCATTTTAAAAAGAAATAAAATAACTGAGTTATTGTACATATTTAAAATTGGAAATTAATTTTTTATAGTAAATATTATAAATAAAACTCGCAATTCTTAATAATACTGAAGGTACAGCCTTCTATTGTGTTCAGTTCAGGCTATCCCGTATATTTACAAGACAAACTTATTTGTACATTAACTTGAAGTACGAGTTAGTTATTCATCTAAACTGCAACATATGGTACATAAACATGTTTCCCTTTAAATATTGTAGCAAAAAATAAAAAAAGAAAAATGTCGTGTTTCCAGTGGTACAGAAGCAAATTGTGAATAAACAATCGCTTTATAACCAAGAATAAGAAATATTGAGAAAATGTAAATCTTTAAATAGTTTATGATGCAACTTTGTGTAACATGAAAGAAAAGCTTTACATATAAAAAGCAAAAGTAGAGAAGTGAAAAGCAAATTGGGAAAACTTGTTATTTAGAGGTAATATTTCAATGTTTGGATAGATCTAAGTTCTGTCTCTTTTTGTTATTTACGACGAAAATAAATCGACATCCATCCAATATAAAATACTTCTCCATAAGTTGACATGTGACTCATTTTTATAAAGTATACTTTTAAAATGATTTGCATATTCATTACTTGTTACAGAATAAAAACTCGCGTTAAATCGTAGGCGACTGTCTCTGATAGCCTTCGAAATTGACACACTACAAACTGTTAACATTATGACATATATAATGATAATAATATAAGGATAATTATTCCACTTTATACAAATATAGCAGCGAGTTTTAAGAGTTCCTATAACGGCCGCGTTGCTCGCGGATCTGACAATTTGACAATTCACAAAATGACTAGGCTCGCCCCTGAGACAAAAA